AGACATGAAGTGAGCAAATGCTTTTAGAAAAATGGCACTAATAGACTTGCTCCCTACAGGATTGTCACAAACCATCAATTTCTAAAAAACACAATATCTACAAAGCACAATAAAACGAGATATGTCTGTAATTGGTGTCCTCTCTCTCTGTCACTCTGCTTAAAAGTTTATCAATTGTATTCTCAAAGAATCAACTCTTAGTTTCATTGATTTTTCTCTGTTTTTGTTTTCCATTTAACTGATTTCTGATCTTTATAATTTCATTTCTTCTGCTTTCTTTGAGTATAATTTGCTCTTCTTTTTCTAGTTTCTTAAGATGGAAGTTTAGATCATTAATTTGAGATTTTTTCCCTAATGTATTTAAAGTTATAAATTTCCCTCTAAACATTGCCTTAGCTGCATCCCACAAATATTAATTTGTCATAATTTTATTTTCATTCCATTCAAAATATTTTCTAATCTCCCTGTGACTTCTTCTTCAACCTAAGCGTTATTTAGAAGTTTGTTGTTTGATTTTCAAATGTTAGGGCATTTCCCAGTTATCTTTCTGTAATTGCATTCTAGTTTAATTTTGTTATGGATGAAAATGTCCTTTGTATGATTTCATTTTTAAAATATTTCTTAAGGTTTGTTTTAGCCAAAAATGTGATCTATCTAGGTGAATGTTCCATGTGTACTTGAGAAGAATGTACATTCTGCTCTTGTTGGGGTAAGTGTTCTATAAATGTCAGTTAGGTCAAGTTAGCTATAGAACTACTCAGGTCTCCTATATCCTTACTGATTTTCTGTCTACTTGTGTTGATTACTGAGATAGGAGAGTTGAAGCCTCCAGCTGTAACTGTAAATTTATCTGTTTCTCCTTTCAGTTTTCAGTTTTCACTTCATGTGTTTTGAAGCTCTGCTGTTAGGTGTTTACACATTTTAGATATTATGTTTTCTTGGCAAATTGACCCATTTAGCATTATAGACTGTCCCTCTCTTTATCTCTGGTAATACTCCTTGTTTTGAAATATACTTCTTCTAATACTAATATAGCCACTCTGGTTTTCTTTTGATTAATGTTTACGTGATATATCTTTTTCCATCCTTATACTTTCAACCTCTCTCTGTCTGTATAGTTAAAATGGGTTTCTTGTAAATAGCATATAGTTGGATCTAGCTGTTATCTAGTCTGACAATCTTTGCTTTTTAATGGGAATATTCAGTCCATTTGCATTTAATGTTTACATTTAATGTGATTATTGACATGGGTGGATTTAGGTCTGCAATTTAGCTACAGTCATGTGCCGCATAATGACATTTTGGTCAATGATTTAGACAATGGCCTCATAAGATTAGTACCATATAGCCTTGGTGTAGTAGGCTATGCCATCTAGGTTTGTGCAAGTATGCTCTATGATGTTCGAACAATGAAGAAATAGGCTAATGATTTCTCAAAACGTATCCCCATAGTTGTGATGCATGACTGTATTTGTTTTCTCTTTGTTTCACTTGACTATTTTTTTGTTTCCTCTGTTCTTCCTTTAGTATTCTAATTCCTCTGTTGAAGGAGGAATTGCTTTATTTTTTAAAGTGAGATATAATTAACCTACAATAAAACACAATATATTTTTGAATGTTTGCTGTAGTGATTATAATATGTATCTTGTATTTATGACATCCACTTAAAGTTAATATTCATCTTAAATATAGAAACTTTTCAACAGTATAGTTTCATTTACACCCTGGTCCTTTTGTTATTGTTTTAAGATATATTACTTCTACATTTATTATAAACCTCACAATTACAATTCTGTAAGTTTAGCTTTAAACTAAAGAATCTCTTTAATGTCTCTAAAGAAATAAAAAGAAGAAAAGAAATATGTGCATAATTGTGTTGAGGGTCTCCAAGACCACCTCAAGTTTGGTGATTTACTAGAAGAAGTCACAGGACTCAGCATATAGTCGTACTGACAGCTAAGATTTATTACAATGAAAGGATACAATGCACAATCAGCAAAGAGAAAAGGCTCATACAGCAAAGACTGGAGGAAACCAGGCACAAGCCTGCGAGAGTTCTCCCCTAGTGGAATTCCATAGGACATGCTTAATTCCTTCAGCGGTAACTTGTAACAAGAAGCACAAAATGTTGTCTGTTGGAAGTTCATCTGAGCCTAGGAGACCTGGATTTTTAATTTGAGGTTGGTCATGAGGCACAATTTCAGTCACTACAATTCCAGAATCTAAGAAGTAAAGCGTGCAACATAAACTATATTGTTTCTATTAACAGTTTAGACACAATGAACCTTCCTTATCACTTAGGGAAGTTTTATATCAGCATAGGGAACTGTTTAGTGTTCAAGTTCCCAGACCAGCAAAAGGTCAAACTTGCAAGCAGGCTTTTCTAAAGATAGCAGTCTTAGACCTGCCATGTTAACTCTTTTCTGCACAATAGTTTTTGTATTTACTCACATGTTTACCATTTCCAGTCGTCCTTGCTGTTTCCTACAGATCTGGTATAGACTGAAAATTTGTGTCCCCTGCAAATTCTTATGTTGAAATCCAAATTCCCAGTGTGATGGTCAGGAGGTGGGGTCTTTGGTAGGTGATTAGGTCATGAGGGCAGAGCCCTCGTGAATTTGACTAATACCCTTAAGAAAGAGATCCCAGAGAGCTCATTTGCCCTTTCTGCCAGAGGGACACAGTGAGAATATGGCCTTATGAAACAAGAAGAGGGCTTTCACCAGACATCCAATCTTCTGGCGTCTTGATCTTGGACTTGCCAGCCTCCAGAACTGTGAGAAATAAATTTCTGTTGTCTAAAAGCTACCTAGTTTATAGTATTGTATTATAGCAGCCTGGACTAAGACAAGATTCAAGTTACCGTCTAGTGTCATTTCCGTGACCATGAAGAACTTTCTTTAGTATTTCCTGTAGTGCAGGTCTGCTGGTGATGAATTCTCTCCATTTTCATCTCTCTGAAATATCTTTATGTCCTCTTCATTTTTGAAGGGTAATTTCATTGGAGATTGACAGTGTTGAACATCTTTCTTTTAGCACTTTAACTTTTTGTTCCACTGTCTTCTAGTCTCCTTTTTTTTTTAAATTAATGACTGTTTTTTAGAGCAGTTTTAGATTCACCACAGAATTAAGAAGAAGGTACAAAGATTTCCCAAATACTCTGTTCCCCCTTCACATGCATAGACTCCCCCATTATCAACATCCCCAACCAGAGTGGTACATTTGTTACAACTGATGAACCTACATTGACACATCATAATTACCCAAAGTTCATAGTTTACATTAGGGTCCACTCTTGGTATTGTACATTCTGTGGGTTTGGACAAATGTATAATGATATGCATCCATCATTATAGTATCACACAGGGCATTTTCACTGCCCTAGAAATCCTCTGTGCTCCACCTGTTCACCCCCACTCTCAACCCCTGTCAAACACTGATCTTTTTACTGTGTCCATAGTTTTGCCTTTTCCACAATGTCATATAGCTGGAATCATAGAGTCTGTAGCCTTTTAAGGTTGGCTTCTTTCACTTAGCAATATGCATTTAAGGTTCCTCCATGTCTTTTCATAGTTTGATAGCTCATCTTTTTACCTCTGAATAATATTTCATTGTTTGGATGTACCACAGTTTATTTATTCATTAGCATTCAAACTATAGCAATATGAATAAAGCCACTATAAACATCCTGGTACAGGATTTTGCATGGATGTAAGTTTTTAAGTCGTTTGAGTAAATACGAAAATGCACAATTGTTGGGTTGTTATGGTAAGAAGATGTTTAGTTTTGTAAGAAACTGCCAAACTTTCTTCCAAAGTGGCTGTACCATTTTGCATTCCCACCAACAATGAATGAGAGTTTCTGTTGCTCCATGTTGTTGGCAGCATTTGGTGTTTGTTTTCCAGATTTTGGCCGTTCTAATAGATGTGTAGGGATATCTCGTTTTAATTTGCATTTCCCTGATAACATATAATGTGGAGCATCTCTCATTTGTTTATTTGACATCTGTGTATCTTTTTTGGTGAGGTGTCTGTTCACATCTTTTGCCCATTTTTTTAATTGGGTTGTTCATTTTATTATTGTTGAGTTTTAGGAGTTCTTTGTGTATTTTGGATAATAGTCTTTTGTCAGATGTGTCTTTTGCAAATATATCCTCCCAGTCTGTGGCTTGTCTTCTTATTCTCTTAGTGTTATCTTTCATAGAGCAGAATTTTTAAATTTTAATAAAGTTGAACTTAGCAATTATTTCATTTATGGATCTTGCCTTTAGTGTTGTATCTAAAAAGTCATTGCCATACCCAAGGTCATCTAGGTTTTCTCCTATGGCATCTTCTAAGTGTTTTATAGTTTTGCATTTTACATTTAGGTCTATAGTCCCTTTTGAGTTAATTTTTGTGAAGGATGTAAGATCTGTCTCTAGATTAATTTTTTTTCCCATGTGGATGTCCAGTTGTTCCAGCACCATTTGTTGAAAAGACTATGTTCACTCCATTGTATTGCCTTTGCTCCTTTGTAAAAGATCAGTTGACTGTATTTATGGGGGTCTATTTCTGGGCTCTCTGTTCTGTTCCATTGATCCATTTGTCTCTTCTTTTATCAGTGCCACACTGTCTTGATTACTGTAGCTGTATAGTAAATCCTGAAGCCAGGTAGTGTCAGTCCTCCCACTTTGCTCTTCTCCTTCAATATTGTGCTGGCTATTCTGAGTCTTCTGCCTCTCCATAAAAACTCTTGAATCAGTTTGTTGATATCCACAGTGTAACTTGCTGGGATTTTGATTGGGGTTACATTGAATCTAGAGATCAACTTGGGAAGAACTGACATCTTGACAATATTGAGCCTTCGTATCCATGAACATGGATTATCTCTGCATTTATTTAATTCTTTATTTTTTTTCCTGGGTATTATACTTGAAATTTATTTTAATTTTAATTTGGGATCTCTACTGGCTAACCTCTACAAGTTTTTTTAAAATTTTCAAATCTATTCCTTTTTTTCAGGTCATAAATAAGGTCCATCTTAAAGCAAATCATGTTGTAAAAAGAGATGTTGATGAACATTTAAGAATCAAGACTGTCTATGATAAAAGTATTGAAGAGTAAGTGTACCATTATTTTGTCATCTTTTTTATTAAGAATCAAACTATTAAAGATATTTTTATCTGTTACCTGAAGTTCCATAGATAGAACTAGGTGCTAATGCACCTTCCAGATAGAATTAAGCTAAAAATGCTTTTTAGTCTGGAAAGATGAAGGCCATGGGATATGATTAAAATCTATACACCATGAGTAATTTAAACAGAACAAATGGGGATCTACTTGGATTGTGGTCAATAATAGACCTGGAAGGCACCTCCTCGATAAGTACTTGGAGGAAAAATAAGTACTAACATATACAATAATAAGAACATTTACAAAATTAATCAGAGAGATGATATAGACTAATTTTTATTTAGTGTAAGAGGAGTCCAGAAAATAGATAAATTATGAATCTGTAGTAGTTTATGAAGAGCTATTAGGAGTAGCTGATGTCTTTCCCTATCCTTAACTTCCCAAGTGAATAAGATAGCATTTGATCATGCCTAACGTTTTGCTTTGGCACACGGTAAACTCTCAGATGCTCACTGAGGTAAATTGAGATTTGGGGGGACTGATATTGCATGCATCCACAAAGCATTCCTTGGGGCTCTGCCAATGCATTCTGAACAAATGAGGCAGTGCTCTGCCCCAGCATGGCAATTCTTATGTTTTATATCATCATTTTCAGGTTGCTCCCTGAGAAAAGATACCTTGTAACGGTATGTAATAAATACTCATGGCTTGAATTGGATACTTAAAATGGGTACATTTTATTGTATGTAAATTCTGCTTCAATAAAGAAAAATATATACATGACTGTTTTGTGAATGACTAAATAAAAAGTGTTGGTAGTGAATGTATTTATCATTTCAACAAAGGTGTCTTTGTGATGCACTCACCAAAACTGTTCATAGTTGATATTAAATTAGTCCTCCTATTTTATAATTTGATATTAAATCAGTTTTCTCATTTTCTTGTTCTCAAGTTTTGGGGGAGCAAGGCATGCTGAGGATAGGGTGAAAAAAATGATTTTTGAAATACATTGGGAACACCATTCTGGGAGAAATTCTCATTCTCTTGAAGATTAATTGACCTGATAGTATGATATGCCAAAGTTGTTTATAGAGGCGCCAACCTCATTAGTTTTTTAACTGTTACAGAGTCACAGACACACATTAAGTCAATTCATTATGGTCCACAGAAGTTGGTGGGGTTAAAGTAGATCTTGTAAACATAAGATTTTCTTAACATAAACCACCTTAATGTTGGAATCGTCTAAATCAGTCTCAAATTTAAAGTAATTTAGATTAATAGTTGAGGTTTATGTTTTCTAATATTCCATTTAAATGGGGACAGGGAAGGAAATTTCCACCTTGTGTTCTTTCTTCAAACTCAACTAGAAAATGAGGAAATTCCTTTGCTCCTAGACTCACTCTCTCCCCAGCCCTTGCCACACAACCTTTGACTAACTAGTATCTATATTCCAGAATTGTAAGCTTTTCCCATTTTTCTCCTCAGTCCTTAATATCCTATGCTTACTTGTTTTAAATATAATTTATCCTTTGACTATAATTCTGACTGGTTTGGTTTTTTTTCAACTTTTATTTAGAACAAACTTTTTCCACAAGCTATTTCTTATTTAGAGAAGACTTTTCAGGTTCGTAGACCTGCGGGCACAATCTTACTTAGCAGGTATGTCACATTAAACACAGGTTATTTTCTTCAGTCGTTTAGTGCTCTGCCCTCCCCATTCTACCAGTATGGTAAATTATGAAATTTATGCTGGAATATTTTAATAAGACTAAACTGCAAGATATTTAAAAAGAACAAAAAAGCATCTGTTGGGTAATCATTCTTTCCCTGATTTTCCATTATGAGGCTTCCTAGGGTGTAGTTGTCCCTGTTCCCTACATCCCCTTCCTCCCTCCTTCATGTGTCTACATTATTGGTTTTATGAAGTAATTGAAATCTGAAAACCCAGATCGGAAGGATTTCCCACGGAACCAAAATTCTTTCTTAGTCCACTTTTCTAACTAAAATAGTAACCATTATTAATGAACTTATGTAGCAGCTACTAATTTTTTACAATGTTTTAAAATGCTGTGAACTATTCTTTCCTTGTTTTTTTTTGGTAATTAAACTTTGATGTACCAACGAACTGAAGACAATGTGCAACAAACCAATACCTACGGAAGGATAATGATCCCCATAGATACTGTACTGGAGAATGTGCAGAGCACACAAAATGTGGCCCAGTTATAGTACCTGAGGAGCACCTCCAGGTAATTCCCCCTCCTCTTAGCAATGCTTTTACTCTTTAGGATAAACTTAGGGGAGATTTTGAATCTGCGAGTGTCACCGGGAAGTTTTTACAGACTTAAATTCAGAAGCTTCATTCTTCTACCAAAAGTAATCACAGTTAGGTATGCTGAGTTTATTCTTTCATTGGTTTTGAAATGAATTTAATGATATTTTCTTCCATTTTTTTTTTCTTTTTTCAATTTATCTCTGGAGTTGTCGAATCATTTCAGCTTAGAACTTTATCTTTGTCATCCAAAACATTTTTTAGCAGGTATATACCCCAGTATTTTTGAAGGGCAATATGAGATTATCTCCTAAAATAAAACATGTGTATGCTTCAACCCAACCTAGAAATACATTTCATAAAAATACTTATAACTATGTAATACATGTTAAACAATATTCTTTGCAAAACTATAAATGTGCCTTTGTTAGTATTAGTCAAATTATGGTATAACCATATAATGGAATGCTATGCAGCTGTTAAAAATGAAGTAGACCTCTATATACTGACTTTGGAAAGATATTTAAGCTCTTAAATTTAAAAAAGTTTCAAATCAGTATGTGTAGTTAGCCTATTTTATTTAAAAATTGCATTCAATTATTCAATTTTTCAATAAAGCTGAGATAAAAACATAAATAAAAAATAAAGAGTATATACATTCATACAATAATACATTATGAAACAATCTAGAGGTACACATATTTAAAAATCTGAACACATAGCAGAGTGTTAATCGTTTTCTTTAAGAGTTGGATTATGAGGGGCTTTTCTTTGGTGAGTCTTTTCTTTGGTAAGTATAATATTTTTGTTATGTTCTGATTTTTCATATTAAGCATACCTTACTTATATTAGAAAAAAGATAAAAAATTTAAAATACAAATACCAGAAAACCAATTTATTATACATGTACCTTGGAAAATATGATTACTGCTATAGCTGTTTTTCTCTCTTAAACTGTATTCTCTCATTACTTATGGAAAATGAATACATTGCTGAACATTAACTTTGTAACCAAAATCAAGCATATGTTTAGATGATGTTTACTTTATAATTTTTTCTTAAGGTATTTGAAGCTCAGTAAAGGCTTTTAGAATCCTCTGTATTGGCACTAATACAACTAACTTACTCAGCTTTCACTTATCAAATTTCTTGAGAGTATAAACAGTTTTAGGGACACATTTAAAAATTAAAACAACTTGTTAATTATGTAGACGATGATAACAAAATGGAGTAACATATGTCAAATCTTCTAAAATGAAGCTGGGAGGCCATTAAGGAAGTGGGCTTATGCACCTATACAGCATCTGCAACCAGATGTTAACTGAACTTTTGAACTTTGCCTGACCTCAGAAGCCATATCCTGGAGCATTTCCTCTTCCAAGAATGGACCGTCTGCTAAGATACAACTCAGGGACCAATCACATACTGGCAAATCAGCTTGTTCCTTGCCAGAACCAATCATTGCTTGTTCAGAACAACTTATGTAAGCTTGTGGGTTTTGCCTTTATAAATCCCGCCTCTTTTGTCCTCCTCAGACTGAAGAGTTTCTGTTTGAGTTTCTACTCAAATCTATATCTCCCAAATTGCAAATCCTAAGACCCCAAGTAAACATTTTGCTTCTCTTGCAGTTTATGCCTCTTATTCATTGACATTATGTGGTGTCAAAAGTGGGATCCAGAGCGACTGACCTCCGATTCCGGCGCCGCTGTGTGGACACGAGCAAGGCAACTGCAAAGAGTCTTTTGTGCTCTGTTGTCTCCTCCTGGCGGCTCCGGCTTCCGGTGGTGAGTCCTCCTGGGCCTGAACCTCCCGCCCTTTTTGGTAGAGGTTCAGATCTTTATTTAGATGTTCTTTGTTGCTGGCTTTTTTTTAAGACATCTTTGTTCCTTTTGTTGAGGAACTTCTGTTCCTTTTGTTGGGCCTTTCTTTTTTTGGTAAGTGCTTACAAATGGGAAGTTCATTCTCTAAGGCAACTGCTGATGGGCACTCTGGGTCTCCTGCTGAATTTTTGTTTAAAGAATATGGACTTTCTGCATGTAGATTTGTGTCCCAATGGACTCACATTACCCTGGAAATTTTGAGGTTTCGCTGGCCTAAATGTGCTCCTTTGAAATTCCTAAATTGGTTTACTTGCGCACTCAACTGGAAAAAGGCTATCAAACCAAACAATTGAGTGAGAAGCTTATTTTAACTGGTCTCAAGGCCTCCAAATGAAACAACAAAAAGGTTGTTTCCTTGCAAGCTGTTAATTCCCATATTTCTTTCTCTCCAAAGGGGAAAATATTTCTTGTTTTAAGAGACTTTAGAGACCTAACTGTTCTTCAGTAGATAATTCTGACCCTTCAATAAATGATAAGACTGTCTTTCCATTCTTGTCTTATCCACTCAAATCAAAAAGCAAGAGAATCCTATCTTAGACTCTGTTCCTGGCTGCCTCTGGTCAAAAAGCTTTACAGACGTTGCCTGTATTCACTCTCCCATTGTGATGAAAGTTGAGGTGGATCCAAATAAGACCTTAGCTAATATTAAGCAGCACCCTTTGCATGCTGAAGCAATTAAAGGCATTAAGCCTATAATTGAAGAGTATCTAAAACAAGGGCTCATCATTCCCTTACAAGTTCTTGTCATACACCCATCTTCCCTGTATGTAAACCTCATGGAAGAGGATGGAGATTTGTACAAGACTTAAGAGCCATCCATAACATTGTAATACCCAGCCATCCTGTTGTCCCTAATCTTCATATCTTACTGTCTGCTATTCCTCCAAATAGCAAGTTCTTTATGGTCATATGGTCATAAACCTTTGCAGTACCTTCTTCAGCATTCCCATAGATCCTGGTAGCCAATTTTTATTTGTCTTTGCTTAGGATGGACAACAATACACATAGACAGTCATACCCCAAGGCTATACTGAAAGCCCAACCTACTTCTTTTAGATTTTAAAGGTAGATATAGCAGATGTAACCTTTTCAGAAAATACTTTATTATAATATGTGGATGACCTCCTCCTTTGCTCACAATCAAAGGAAGCATCTGGTGTAGATGGACTACATCTCTTAAGGGAACTTGTTTCTAAAGGACATAAAGTTTCAAAAGAGAAGCTGTAGTTTAATCAGCTTCAAGTTAAATTTTGGAACATTTGATATCTAACCAAGGGTTAATGCTTGACCCAGATAGAATTAAAGGAATCCTTTCTTTCCCTGTTCCCCAGTCCAAAAGACAATTGAGGGGACTTTTAGGATTGGCTAGTTATTGTAGAAACTGAATCCCCTACTTCTCAATGATGGCTGAACCCTTACACGCTTCCTTTAAGGTTGACCAGCCAGAACATCTCAACTGGATAGAAGAAAATCAAAATGCCTTTGAGACAATTAAGCAGGGTCTGCTTGACACCCCAGACTTAGGACATCCTAACTACAAATAGCCCTTTTCATTTTTGTTCATGAGAAGGAAGGACACTGGGTGTCCTGAACATGGAGGAAAACGTAGACCAATTGACCACTGCAGCCAACAATTAGACCCTGTGTCTGAGGGACTACCTCCCTGCATGAGAGCCATTGCTGCAACTGCAGCTTCTCTTAGAACTGCCAAAGAAACTGTCATGGGCTCTCCTCTGACCATTTATGTACCCCACTTTGGAAGCCCTTCTTAATTCTCATCATACTCAATACCTTGCTGCCAGCTGACTGACCTCCTGTGAGCTGCTTCTGTCCTCACCAAACTTTACTCTTACTTTCATTCCCTCAATCCTGCTACCCTCCTTCCATTGCCTTCTGATGACACACCTCACGACTGTCTTACCTTGACAGACCAATTACTGGTCCCCAGACGAGACTTACAAGAGGCCCCAGTTGAAAATGCTGACGTAGTCTGGTTTACTGACAGGTCTTATCTGAAAGATGAAACTGGTAAATATAAGGCAAGATGTGTAGCTCTGTCTTTAACGGAAACAATAGAGGCTGTCCTTTGCCAGTGGCTACCTCTGCACAGCAAGTTGAACTTGTGGCCCTAACCCAAGCCTGTTGTCTGGCTGAAGGGAAAACAGCCAATATCTATACAGACAGCAGATATGCTTTGGGGGTAACTCATGATTTTGGCATGCTTTGCAAACAAAGAGGATTCTTGACCTCTATACGTCAAAGAATAAAAAAATAGTTTCTATGTGTTAAATCTTTTGGATGCCATTCAGAAACCAAGATCTTTAGCAGTGATAAAGATTCCTGGACATTCTAGGTAAATATGGAGGGAAGTGAAGGTAATCATTTTGGTGATTCAACAGCAAAAAACACAGCCCTTCGAGATTACAAACCTCTTTTGGAATTCACCCTAAAACCAAAATTACCCCTCAATCTTGTCAGAGATTTAAAAAATAAACTTATGGAAGTGCAACATTTTGCTCCTAAACAGGAAAGGAAAAAAATGGACAGAGCAGGGTTGCACATTTGAAAGAAAAAAAATATATGGTACAGTCCTAATGGCCATCCTGTCCTCCCTGATCGCCTCCAGGAACGTATTCTAAGCTATGTTCGTGATTTAACTCATTGGAATATTGAGAAGATGCTACTTTGGGGAAAACAATATTATTGGAAACTATCACCTAAAATGGCTTCGAAGGTTTATCAAAGATGCCATATATGTCCTAAACATAACCCTGGAAAGCCTATCCACAGTTCCATGGACCACTTCCCTTTACCTTCTGGACTCTTTGAAACATAACAATTGGATTTCATCCAACTGCCACCATTTCAAGGATATAAATATGTTTTAGTGATGGTATGCATGTTTTCCCATTGGACTGAAGCATTCCCATATTGCAGGGCAACAGCTCGTACTGTAAGTAAAATTCTTCTAGAATGGATTTTACCTCAGAGCTTCAACAGCAATCAAGGAAATAATTTTACAAGCCAAATGGTACAATCTGTAGCAAAATTTGGCCTACCCTGCACCAATTTCATTATGCCTATCACTCCAAATCTTCTGGTCTTGTTGAAAGAACTAATAGGATCATAAAAACTCAATTGGCCAAATTCATAGACTCTTTTAATATCCCATGGCCAAAAGCCCTGCCTTTGGTATTGCTCAACCTTAGGTCTATACCTTTTGGAAAGCACAAACTATCCCCATTTGAAGTCATCACAGGATGACCTATGAGATTAGATCAAGGACTATATGAGCCTGTCTTGCATAAAGGAGATATCTTGACCTACCGCAAGGAACTCAGTAAGACTCTTAAGGATAATACTACCCTAGAAGAACAGTCCTTTCACAGCACACTCCCTGGAGATGAAGAAATATGCCACCACAATTTTCAACCAGATTTTGTCAACTGGAAAAGACATCATCACAAGGATGCCTTACAATCACAATGGAAAAGGCCATACCATGTATTGTTGACCAGTCCTTATACAGCTAAACTTGGGGTCGTTGACTCATGGATTCATGTTTCTCATCTTAAAAAGTCACCCTCACCTGATTGGACTTCTCAACCCACTGGAGACCTCAAATTAAAGTTATCATAGGCTGCTTTCCACCCAGATGAGAAGCAGATGACATCGGGAGTAGACAACTGTCCCAAGTATCTGAACCAGGCCAGTATCCATCCCTGAGTTAGCCAAACTTTTTGGCATTCCTTTTTTTGCTGGAATTTTAATGTTCTTTTCCCTTTTACAGACTGTGGGAATTCTACTGGTGGCGAAACATCTTCCTTTTTGCTACTGACCCTTAGATTCCTCCTCCTCCTTACTTCCCCAGTCTCTCATTCCTGGAAAAGCAAGGCTATAATATAATTTTCTCAGTCTTTAGCCTCCTCTTGGAACTAGTCTGAATGTTGGGTATGTCACTATTCCCCTACTGCATCGTTTTGCAAAGAATAATGATTCCATAATCATAACTATATACAATTTTTCTTTTTTTTTAAAGATTGGCACCTGAGCTGACAACTGTTGCCAATCTTCTTCTTCTTCTTTTTTTTTTTCTCTGCTTTTTTCTCCCCAAATCCCCCCAGCACATAGTTGTGTATTTTTAGTTGTAGGTCCTTCTAGTTGTGGCACATGGGATGCCGCCTCGACGTGGCCTGACGAGTGGTGCCATGTCTGCGCCCAGAATCGGAACCGGTGAAACCCTGGGCCGCGGGAAGCAGAGCACATGAACTTAACCACTCGGCCACGGGGCTGGCCCCTACAATTTTTCTAATGTTCCCAGTTATACTGTCACCCTTGACCGGCCCCCCACCACTATTGCCTACCAGATAGAACCTGTCCACCTTATCTCAGGACCCCCTCCTTGCTTCTCCCTGACTCTCTTCTGCCTGTCCACCTTCTACCAAAATAGAGATCTGTCTTCTACACCAATACTGATGTGCCTTCTCAAGTTCGTTCTTCTTTCCTCTAACTCTTATATCCAGGGTCTCTATAGCTCCAGGCCCAAATTCAACTGTTCAACACCCCTTTGCTGGGCATACTTGACGTTGCTACTTCCTCTATTCACCCTATTTGAGATCTGTTAACTTAATGGGAGCATTGGAGAACTCCCTAGGACAGATCCCTGGTTCACCTGTATCCCTTGAGAAGTGTCTACCAGTACATCCTTGGAACCCTCTAATGTCACTGGCTCCCTTTGCATACCCTGGAGCTACATTTTCATCTGTGACCAAGAAGGTTCTCCATGGGCATTTGAATGCCTAGATAGCTGGAGAATGGGAGGAACTTACCTCCTGGGACACTTAACCACTCCTTTCACTGTACTCAAGCTAATCTCTGGACAACTAGGGTCTACTAGAATAGCCGAAAGAAAAGGGCACTCTATTGTAGATGATTATCCTGATGAAGACCCCTCTGAATATGAGGATAATAGTTGTGGCTGTAGTCAGGGATGTGACCTTCTCACTGGGTATTCAGGTGAGAATTTTGGGATCTTGGACAGGAGTTAGAACCAAAGATCTGAAGGTTATGATGTGAAACCTCACAAGAGCTGTCAACAGAATTATTTGCTCTGTGGCAAGAACTAATAGGGCACAACAAAGGTCCTTAGACACCCTAGCCCAAGTAGTGTTTGAAGACGGAATAGCCTTAGACTGTCTCCTTACCACCCAAGGATGAGCCTGTGCTATTACCAACACCTCCTGTTGCACCTCCTGGATTAATACCTCTAGTCAAGCTGAATCTGAGACCACTGAGCTTTTCAAACTAGCTAAATCCCTTGAGGGCCGCTCTAGCTTTACTGCAGGTTGGTTAAATTTCAAGTTTTCAGATTCAAATTTGCTTTCTGCCCGTTTAGGGGCAATCCTCAGATCCACTTTACATCTTGTTTTACTTGTGATAATTCTGATCTGATCATTTTTAAACTGTCACATGCTGTGCGTTTCTCGCTGTCACACAGCTACTCAAAACATCAAGGTCGTGGTCACTTAAAGACTCAAGACTATTCAGCAAACCTATCCATTGATGACCATTGAACAAAACCATCATTGATGCCTTGGAACTGTCAAACTATGCCTAAGACTCAGTTTCCTGATTGCATCATTATTGCTCAGATGTGGCCAAAGCCTCTGACTACCTTACTCCTACTGATGATTGAGCATCTCACTTCCCCCCATAATGGGACATGACTTCCCAAAGATGAGCCTTCCTGGTGAAGGGGGAAACACCTGTGGGTTTTGCCTTTATAAATCCCTGCCTCTTTTGTCCTCTTCAGAGTGCATTTGAGTTTCCTCTCAAATCTATGTCTCCTGAATTGCAATTCCTAAGACCCCCAAATAAACGTTTTGCTTCTCTTGCAGTTTATGCCTCTTCTTTGTTGACAATCACATATCTGCCTCTTTTCACAAAACATTTAGAGACATTTTAAGACACATTTTTTTTTCCTAAAGTATTTTTTGTTTACTTTTAATTTTCTTGGCATTTCCAAATTCTGCTTCCTACTTGTCTTCTTGCAGGTCCTGATTTTTTTTTTTTAAATAAATGAGTGATCATGGAAGACAATGCTTAAAAATCACAACTTTTTGTAATGCCAACTGTTAATAGGTTAAAGTAATTGAATTTAAAAATTATGAATACATGGGTTAGAGAAGCTAGAGTAAACAATGTAATGAAATGGAGATTTCTGTTTTCTCTCTACAAGCATCACACCTAAAAGATCACAATTTACGGATTTCTCTATTTATAATTTGGAGATTATGATTGTTTAGGAACTTAGAATAAGTCCTCTAAAAAGCAGATATTACAAGAGCAAAGTAAGAATTGCTTAGAAAACTAGAAACAAGGGTAATACTATCAGATGACTTTAACTTTACCTTACATACTTTTGAATTATTTGAATTTTTAACAAGATACCTGGATTACTTTATAATAGGAAATATATTTCCATTAGATAAAAAGTTTTTTATTAATTTCTAAATAACTATAGATTCACAGGAAGTTGCACAAACAAATATGTACTAGGAGGCACCTTGTAACTTTCACCTAGTTTAAGGGTTTAAAACCTTTTCTATTTCTTTTTAGAATCCTTTGCAGTTGCATCCTATTGCCCTTTGTAAATAGCAGTTGTTTTAATTAAGATTATAGATTTATGATCATTTTATGTAAAGTGGAAATTTTAGGAAAAGAAATTCAAAATTAGAAATAAGAACTGAGTAGAGGGAGGTATGGATTTTGATAAAAGTTAATGGATAATAAATAAAAGTTAAATCATATGTATTTAGAGTCTGGATTCACTTTAAATTAAAAATCCCTACAGCTAACCTTGTCTCTGGTCTGATTTTCTGTTGCCTCTCATGGGTGCAGCAATGCAGGGTCTGCCGTGGGGGTAAGTGGCCCTGTGAAGCAGTGGGTGTGCAAGACCAAGAGGGCATCCTGGATGCAGACTTTGTTCTTTATGTTGGTGCTCTGGCCACTGAGAGGTGCAGCCATGAAAACATCATCTCTTATGCAGCCTATTGCCAGCAGGAAGCAAAAATGGACAGGTAAACTTTCCCCTGAGACTTATTTCCCAAGATCTAATATGGGAACATGTTATAACAGACCATATTGTAAGTGTTTAGAATATGTACAGGAAATTCGCATTTGCCAGATTGCCTCCAGTAGTCAGAAACATCCTGAATGGGCAGTCAGGTGGGAGGAGTCAGGTGGTGGGACTGTTATTCATGTGGTAATGTCATCACCAACTCCAAAGAAAAAGTCTGTCAAGAGAACTTTCTTTGGAAGCGAATACCTCTCTAGGAAACAATCTGGACTTTAATTTTAGTCTTTCTGTGCTAAAACTGTAAGATGTTAAAAATGTGTTCATCTCATTGTCATATCATTTGATATGTCCTTCACTTAGCTAAATTATCACTTAAATTTGTATGTAAGGACCATTGCTGAGGTCCCGAACATTCATCTATCTGTCAAAAGATTAGCTGCCTTTAAAAAGCTATTTCACTTCTATTGCTACGTAATTCACTTAAGGAAAAAAATGAAATTATTTGTTGAATGAAGTAGGCAGAACAAAGGAAAGAATTATACCGTCAATCCTGAAGGTGGTAAGGAGATCAGAATCCGCATTATGGATTATGAAAAGCAGTCTGTTACCATGATACTATGTAATTGTTCATCCATAAAATCTACTAAAAAATCTAGCTTTTGAATGTTGAAAAAGCTTAGAGTCAAATATTGAGTATATTACTCAAGAAGAAAGTGCTATATGTTTTTGCAGATATATATGTACTATTCAGTAAAAACAATATATATATTCTTGTTTATATTCTTTAGTAAAAAGAATATATATATTTAATGGAGTGTTTCTTTTTTCCTGGGAAGCTGTTATTGAATTTATGATATTTTATAATTAATGGTGTCTCAGTATCAAGGAAATGTGGTGTTTGAAGTGCTGAATGATTGTTACTTGATAAAATGAGATACTTTCTTAAAGTAGATGTCTTTGAGAAACAGACCTTCATAACAGTAGTGCTCTAATTTCAACTAAACTATACGAATCGCACGCACACACACCTGCAAGTCATTTTGAATATACTGTTGAATGTCAAAAGAACATTGTAAAATAGTGTACATAATATGATTCCATATTTGTTTAAAAAATTTATGTATGTACTTAAAAGGAAAAAGTCAGAAGGAGGATTACCAACCATCCCAGTTTGCCCAGGACTACCCTGTTTTAGCACTGAAAGTCCCAAATCCTGGGAAAACCCTCAGTCCTGGGCAAACCAGGATAGCTGGTCACCCTAAAAATAAAGCACCCCAAATTGTTGGTAGGAGTTACCTCTGATAATGGAATTTAGTGGGAGTAGGTTGTAAAACAGGGAATTTATACATTTCTATATTGTTGGATATATACATTTTTACAATGAGCTTTTACTTTTTTAAAATAAAAGATGTTAAAGTGAACCTTATATATTAGGAGCATAATGGCTTCCCTGGGGAGTTGAGGGAGGGATATAAAATCTTGTGTTGAAATGAGTCTAGATTAGTTCATCTCCTTTCAGCATCTGATAATGCTGAAAGTGCTTAAAGTATCGAGTTGTCTACTAGTAAGAGCTTCCAGCATAGGAGCCATCACACAAATGAGAATCCCCTAGCCCAGAAGTGCATTTCAGTTTCATTGTACTGCTGTTATGTTTGTTTAAAGCACTTTAACATTTGGTTCACATTTGATGTGAATGAATAGCTAAAAGAATAAATGTTCTTGTGTATCAGTGAATATAAAGCTACTCATAAATGTCTTCTCATGCCTGGGGAAAGATTTAGGTTTCTTCTGTGGAGAATGTTGATGTTGGAAGAAAAAGCAATATCTTCAGTTATTTTCTCATCTTTTTGAAGGAAGCAAAACTTCCCTTCAAAACTGCTATATTGTAGGGGCCTGGCCCAGTGGTGGAGTAGTTAAGTGCACACGTTCCACTTTGGCGGCCTGGGGTTCATTGGTTCAGATCCCAGGTGCAGACCTACGCACCATTTGTTAAGCCATGCTGTGGGAGGCGTCCCACACAAAATAGAGGAAGATGGGCACGGTTGTTAACTCAGGGCCAGTCTTCCTCAGCAAAAAGAGGAGGATTGGCAGCAGATGTTAGCTCAGGGCTAGTCTTCCTCAACAAAAGAAAAAGAAAAGAAAAACTGCTATGTTGTATTAATTCATTCAGTGAATATTTGAGTGCCTAGTATGTTGTCAGCAACTAGGTGAATAAAACAGACGTGTGTACCTGCCTCACAGAACTTAAAAATTACAGAGGGAGACAAATATTAGTTAAATATACTTAGAAAAAGTATGTGATTTCAAAATGTAGTAAAAACTTTGTAGGAAAAAACAGGGTGCTGTACCGTAAAAGAAAACAAACACGGGAAACATAATTTAGATCAATTGGGCAAAGAAGCCCTCTCTGAAAAAGTGAAGTTTTAGCTGTAACCTGAACCTTGAGAGTCTTCAGCCAAATAAGAGGTGGAGAAAGAGTTTATGTTGGGGAAAAAACCATGTGTACCTGTTGCTGTTAGAAGCCACTTCAGTGGGCAGTGTGTCTGAGGACAAGACCTTCAGGAGATTCACTGGGGAGGCAGACAGGGCTGCTTTATGCTAAATGCTGTAGGAAGTCCTGACAGGTGGTAAGCCTGGCGGTGACATCCATTTTGTATTTTAGAGGTCACTGTGGTAATGTTTTAGTAATTAATTATATTCTTATTTCTTCTAAGTGTAAGTGTGTTGTTTTCAAGTATGAAGAAAGTGTACTGTATGCTTTTTACTTAATCCCATTTACTTTACATTACAAATGTTACTTTGTAAGTAGGCGATCACAATTTGGTGAGGTTTGTGGTATTTCTGCAGTAAAATGTTAAGGTTGTGGTGGGAGAAAGGATCTTGGGGCTCCTTACCATTGTCTGTCTGCCACAGCTTTTGAAAGACAGGTGGATACCTGGTGGAACGGACTGAATTACTCTGGGTCCTAGTCTGCTCTCGTTCTCGGACTCTCAGGTTCTAGGCTTAGAAAGAGATGTAGAATTCTGTAGCTTCTAGAAGGTGTAGAACATGAAAGATGATGGGAAGATAAAAATCTTTATGTGAGTGAAGGCAGTGTTAGGGCAGGAGAAAGGAAATAGTGAGCTGGAGATACTAAGGTTCAGCAATTTTCAGCAACCTGAATGATTTGCTTACTATCCTATTGTATGTTGAGTTTCCCTCTCTACCTACGTGTCTGTCCCTGTGCCTGTAAATACAATGAAATGCAGAACTCAAATACGGATTTTGCAAATAAAATAGTGTTAAAATTTAAGTTTTTCAGTTCGTTCCTTTTTTTTTTTTTTGGTATAGATTGACATATTTTACAAATTCATACTAAAGTATAATTAACTGACTATATGTTTTTGTAGGAATAGGTGTGGGGTGGCCATGCCATAGGAAAACAGAGGTATATGTCTTAAAAATAAAAAACAATAAAAGTTAGATCTTCTGGTACAGAATGACATTTGATATTTAGCAAAGATTTTTCTGACCTTGTCAGTTTTTGATAGAAAAGTATGTTAGTAAATATCATAATATATATTGTTCTGGAATATAATAAAAAATTTAATGTCTATCTTAACAGGCCAATAGCAGGATATGCTAACCTGTGTCCAAATATGATCTCTACCCAGCCTCAGGAGTTTGTTGGGATGCTGTCCACAGTGAAACATGAGATTATTCATGCCCTGGTAAATTTTTCTAACTACTATTTTTTCCTTCGCGCATTGATTTTCTGCTTATTATGCTCTCATTTTAATGTATATATTAAATTTTAAGATTGTATGGATTCTTAGAATCATCTTCAGTCAAACCTAGTTGATTAGGCTTCTGCCAATAGAGAATTTTTAATGATTAGGATAGTGGCTAGGTTGAGTTATACTTCCTAAAATAATTAAACAAGTAAATCCACGGGGCACATAGGATTTTTGAGGAAATGATTAAGCTTCTTAAGAACAAAACTTAAGTAATTTAGTAAAATTTACTTCTCTCTAAAATAACTGATATGCGAATTAGAGATCTTATCTGTAACAGAGATCTCATTTCTGATAGTCTTCTTGGTCTATTTAGGCTTTCTAAAGTGTGTATGTATACTACTGACTCAGAACTTCTTCCTTTTCCCCAATTTCTCCAAAATAGTGAACTTTTACCACATGTCTAGAGAATTAAACGAAGTTGCCTAAGATTCTAGGAAATGTTCTCCTGATGTTATATGTGTATTTAGAAAATAGATGTCAGTAAAATGCAGGGATTAAGAGAGAGAATGGATCACACAGATCTAGGGGTGAATCTTCTGACCTCTACCACTAAAAATCCTTAGGATCTTGCGCAAATTACTTAGCCTTTGTAAGCCTCAGTTTTATCTGTAAAATGAAAATAATAGTGGTACATATTACAATGAATTTTTTTCATGAAGATTAAATAAGACAAAACAGATAAAACAGCTTAGCACCATGCTGCACATGGCAAAATGTAATAAAATTAGTGGCTATTATTTGTCTTATTTAGTGGGCTGTCGTGTATGACCTTGAAATACAAACTTAAGTCTTTAAATCAGTGAATACGTTGAATAACTTGGTGAAACTCTAGTGTAACCAGATTGTGCTTCTGTTCTTCAAGTAAGGAGATTCTGAAATGAGTTGTCTGTTTTCCTTTTATTAAAAAGGAAGTGAGTCAAACTTGCTAATTGTGGTGAAAGACAGGATCATTCTAAGTAACATTTTAAGCTTTAAGCTCTAAAAACTGTAGATACTTGATGTTGAGAGAACCAGAGCAAAACAGCAGGTTTTAAGTATAGTACGTAAGTGAACATGAATGCAGAGCTTCCGGACATAGTTAGGTTATGAACAGGCAGTTCACAAAAGAAAAAATCCAATTCACCAAGAAATATGTAACGAGGTATTCAGACTTACTTTAGCAGTCAGGGAGTCTCAAATTAAAGCAAGACATCATTGAATATGAAAACGTGTATGAGGGGCCTGCCTGGTGGCATAGAGATTAAGTTGACACACTCTTCTTCAGCAGCCCAGGCTTCACAGGTTCGGATCTGGGTGCAAACCTACACACCATTCGTCAAGCCATGCTGTGGCGGCATCCCACATAAATTGGGGGAAGATTGGCTTGGCACGGATGTTAGCTAGTGACAATCTTCCTCAAGCAAAAAGAGGAAGATTGTCAACAGTTGTTAGTTCAGAGCCAATCTTCCTCACCAAAAAAACCCCCCAAACATGTATAGGAATTATGCGCGTTGACTTCAGGGTAGTGGTTACCTCTGGGAAGAAAGGGAGGAGAAAGGGTTTATGTAGTGGGGCTTCAGCAGTATTTATTCTGCAGTGTTTTATTTCTTAAAAAGTCTGAAGAGGGGCCAGCCCCATGGCTGAGTGGTTAAGTTCCCGCAGTCACCTGCAGTGGCCCAGGGTTTCGCTGGTTCGGATCCTGGGCATGGACATGGCACTGTTCATCAGGCCACGCTGAGGCGGCCTCCCACATGCCACAACTAGAAGGACCCACAACTAAAAATATACAACTATGTACTGGGTGACTTGGGGGAGAGAAAAAAAAAGTCTGAAGAAAATGTGGCAAAATTAACATCTTAAATCCTCTTAAAGAGGTTACATAAATGTCTATTAGATTTTTTTTTAACTTTTTTGTATATTTATTTAAAAAATTGTAAAAACCTAAGAAATTTTAAATATTAGTTTAAGGCTCAAAAACTATCCTGGAGGATTGTAGGAGTTAAATGTTTAAAGATATTCCCTACAAAATTATATTTGCTCATAGCTATCAACTATAGTCATCCATGGTACTTTAAATACTAGATAAGCCTTCTTCAATGTGAGTGCTTAGAAAAATTTTCAAGTTGACAGAGTGGAAAAAATATATATTTAGAATACTATAAAGGATGAGGCAAATCATCCTATTTTAAGCTTTATATAACTTCAGTGAATTGTATATTAGAAACTATTTAGGTTTCTTAGCTGACTCCATTGTGTCCTTTGCATCTTCAGAGATTAAAAAGGAAGAAGAAATGTAGGAATAAAAGAATAATCTGGATTCCATTAATCATTTTGGCAAGCCTTGAATGACACAGAGGTCACAGTATGTAAGCAAAGAAATTTGCCAAAGAAATTGATTAGTTAATTGGTGATTTATGATTGTTAGTTATTTGGATATAAGCTATAGCATATTCTCAATATGTAAAACATACCTAAAGAAGTAATTACAGAAGTGCTTTGTTTCAGTTATTAGATTAGGAAAGAAAGCAAGAAAAAAAATTTCACTAATAGAATAGGAGATATCAAATGTCAATAATTTTTTTGGCCCATTTTCTCATCTTATTTGGGAGGGAAGAGATAGAGAATGGGAATTTGAGTACCTGTATACGAAGTATCCATTATCATTAAAATTGAAGACTTCATAAAAACACTATTTAAAAATGTGATTGTAAACATACATATTCACATTGTAAGAAAATTGAGAGAATTTGAATGATTTTACACATTACCATACCACCAAAAGAACCACAGCTTACACTTTGATATATATGTTTCCAGTCTTTTTTCCTAAGTGTACACACACACACACATACACACATTTCCAGTCTTGTTTTTTTAAGTATAGATATCTATGAAATGTGGACTTTGAACTTTTATGAGTGCTCTTAGGAGCACACTCAGTCGCCTGCTCCCCTGCTCTAAACTGTATTAATTGTTCTGGACAGCAGTGTTCCCCAGATGCAGGTGTAGAGTTTAGGAGGTTCGTGTGAAGAGGATCAACTGTGGTAAACACATTCTCAAACAAATAGATGCACTGTTTATACTGCTACCAAAGAATGTCTTTGTTACCAGTACTTTTGATTTCCTCACTTATAATTACCTCAGGTAATTGGAAGTTAAAATTCATAAATATGAAACACTCAACTGGTGTCCATTTCTAAGATATGAGAAGTTCCTGTAGAAGTATTGACGTGGTGTGTTATGTGGTTGTATCAATGTTCTGATAGCGGCATGTTATCATGTCTTTCATCAGACTTGATATTTTTCCTTTTAAGATATTTTGAACTTTTTCTTATAGGGTTTCTCTGCTGGGCTATTTGCATTCTACCATGATAAAGATGGAAATCCTCTAACTTCAAGATTTGCAGGTGGTCTCCCACCTTTTAATTACAGGTATTTGTTAATTTTGTTCTTGTTCCTCTTTTAGGAGGGTGCTAAGACTAGAATCTGAGAATCATAGCATATTAGGTGCCATAAATAATAGTGTCTTCATGGCTACCCTAAGAAAATTATAGCTATTAAAACATGATAGGAGGGGCCAGCCCCATGGCCGAGTGGTTAAGTTCTCATGCTCTGCTTCAGCGGCCCAGGGTTTCACTGGTTCAGATCCTGGGCACAGACATGGCACCGCTCATCACGCCTTGCTGAGGCGGCACCCCACATAGCACAGCCAGAAGGACCTACAACTAGAATATGCAACTATGTACTCGGGGTGCTTTGGGGAGAAAAAGAAGAAAAAACACGTGATAAGATATAAGAGGTCATTTAGCATCCCCCTTTTCATTTTATAGATGAAGCAGTTGAGATGCAGAAAGCTTAAGTGACTTATCCAAAGAGCCAGGACTCTTCTTGCCAGGCAGAGCTCTTTTCCACCACATTGTAACTTGTCTTACCTTACAGTATAGTGAGGTCATGGGAAAATGTGGGTTGGTTATATTTTGCTTTATTAATAGTTATTGCCTATACATGGCAATATTTGTGTGTTAAATGTTTTATTTAGCACAGCATATTAGCAGTGATCTAGATGGCCCAGGCCTAAAATAAATAATACTAAGAAACACTAAAAAAATTTATCAAGAATTTTATATGGACTGTCAGTCACAGAACTGTAACCATTTGCATGCATTTATATAAAAAATAAATCTCTAAATTAAGAGCACATGTCCACAAAAAGACATGTACAAGGATGTTCATGGCAGTTTTGTTATTAATAGTCAAAAAATGGAAACCATTGAGAGGTCCATCAATAGTAGAATGGATAAATAAATTGTGATATATTCCTATAATTGAAAACTACAAGGCACTAAAAGAGAATACACTATTGCTACATGCAGTAATGTGTATGAATATCACAGATAGAATGTTGAGCAAAAGAAGTCAGATAGTCTGTTTGTATGAGTTTAAAAACAGTCAATGATAAACAAATTAGTGGTTTTACTTGAGAGAGCTGGCTGTTAAACTCCATAAAAGTTGAGTATAGATTGGGAAAGGGCACAGGAATCCTTCTGAGGGTGCTGATGCTGTTCCATATCTTTATCAGAGCAGTGGTATATGGGTGTAGAATAAAAAATTAATTAATCTTTATACTGAAAACTTGTTCACTTTATATGTATTTTACTTTGACTACAAAGATCTCTATTAAAATAACTAGAATTAAATAAATATTGAAGTAGATAATACTTTATTCATCATAGTATTTTTTAGAGTACATATGAAGAAACGAAATTCTAATGTAGAAATAGATGTTTTACTTCCTAGATTGCTTGTGTTCATTTGGTGGGGTGGAGGAAGTCTGGTCTTTCCTAAGAATTGTGGTCTTTATGGGAAACATATAAATGGTCAGATAGGCGTTGTCTGCATAGTGATGTAGGTCAGGAGGAGAGAGATACCCACCCAAGAACTATTGTTAAGCTGATCATTTGCAGTGCTTTCTTGCATTCAGGATACTCAAAAGCAGGAAATCTCAGAGTATAAATGAAAATAATAGAGTAATAAAAAATTCAGTTGTTAGACACATGAAGAGTTGAATTTGGCCATAACCTATTTGGAGAAACTGTTAATTGAAGTGTGGATAGTAAAGAGGATTTTAGAGTTATTAATAGGGCAAAAGCTGCTTATTTTCTTGTTGGCTTTGTTCACTATTTATGTTTAAACATTGCCTTGCCATGAAGAAAGATGAAAGGAATTAAGAATAACCTCTCTAGGACATGGGTAAATGAACAGATACATGATTCAAAAAAGCATAACAAAATGTGAATTATAGAATCTAAGTGACAGTTATTGGATGTACAGATGATCATCATACAATTCTTTCAACAGTTTGTATGTTTAAAATTTTCATAAAATAATGGTGGGAAAAAATAACCTCTTTATATTTTGTTTTATTGGAGAGAACGCAAGATTCACAGGGTCAATGGTAGAAATAATCTAGGGAAAAAGCCAAAATAAAACAGATTTGGGTTTTAGGGAAAAATCAAAATTGATATCCATCATAATTTTCTGTAATAAATAAATATATTACTTTTTTCATAATGCTTTTATTTGTGCAAGATAGAGTCCCCAAAGTGGGACTGTTGGTTTAGAATCTATGCCCACTATAAAGTTTAATAAAAGTTGTCATATTCCTTTTTTTTAAAGGTTGTGGCAGGGCACACTCCCACCAGCGATATATGAGTGCTTTTGTAACACCTTCCCAGTACTGGATATTATAAATCTTTTTTTTTAGGCCACTTTGATGGGTCAAAAAGATGGTATCTCATATTTCCAGAACTACTAGTAAGGTTTTAGCCATTTGCATTTTTCTCTTTGTATACTGCCTGTTTATTTTCTTTGTCCAGTCTTAGGTTATTTTTCCTTTTCTAGTGACTTTGAAGAGTTTTTTATAAGTTAGAGATTTAATCCTTTTTCATGTTTGTTGTAAATATTTCTCCCATTTGGTTATCTTTTTATTTCAGTTATCGTATTTTTGCCATATAGAAAAGTCTTTCAATTTTATATCATTACATTCATCTTTTTTTCCTTTATCGCTTAAGAAAGTTTCTGCCCTCCAAAGATTATTAAAATATTCTCCTAAATTTCTTCTAGTAAATTATTATTTGAATTTTTTACATTCCTAGCTTTAATCCATTTGGAATTTATTTTTGCTTTTTGTATTTTGGGATTTTTTTTGTAGGGTACATATATGTTTGTAATGTTATCTCCTTGGTAGACTGACCTTTTCATCATTATAAAATTGTCTTCTTTGTCTCTAGTAACAATGTTTGTCTTAACGTCTATTTTGTCTGATATTAGTATAGCCATTCTAGCTCTCTTTTTAGTACTGTTTGCATGGTGTATCTTTTTAATCCGTTTACATTCAACCTATTATGTCCTTGAGTCTGAACTATGTCTCTTGTAGACGTATGGTTGGATCATGTGTTTTTAATACATTCTCCAGTCAAGCCCTTCCCACCCCCCTGGTGGCTGCAGTTGCTGCTTTTCACCATGGTTGTGAACTGTTGGTTTTCAAGGCTGCCACAGAGCTGGAGAGAAGGTGTGGGAAATCGCCACAGAGCTTGCTGTTCTTACTGAGATGCATCCATTTTTCTTAAATAAATGCTCCCTGAATTGCTGCAAGCCTTTGGTTAATTTCCAGAGTTCTGAAATGTTGATTTGGCCAATTTTGCTACTTTTCTCATTGCTTTCATGAAGCAGAGAATTTTCAGAGGTCCTTACTCTGCCATTTTTGCTGGCATCTGTCTGGAATTTATTTTTGTATATGGGATGAAGCAGAGATTTAATTCTTTTTATTTTTTTTTTTGAGAAAGACTAGCCCTGAGCTAACTGCTGCCAATTCTCCTCTTTTTGCTGAGGGAGACTGGCCCTGAGCTAACATCTGTGCCCATCTTCCTCTACTTTATATGTGGGTTGCCTACCACAGCATGGCTTGCCAAGTGGTGCCATGTCCGCACCCAGGATCCAAACAGATGAACCCCAGGCCGCCGAGAAGCAGAATGTGTGAACTTAACTGCTGCGCCACTAGGCCAGCCCCAAGATTTAACTCTTTTTTTTCCCTCAATGGATAACCAATTTTATAGCATAGTTATTAGGTAAATTATACTTTCCCACTGAATTAAAATGCCATCTTTTTTGTTTATTAAGTTTCCTTATGTACTTAGATATGTGTCTGGGCTTGCTTTTTGTTTTAAAGATTGGCCCTGAGCTAACATCTGTTGCCAATCTTTTTTTTTGCTTCTTCTCCCCAAAGTCCCCCAGTACATAGTTGTGTATTCTAGTTGCAAGTCTTTCTAGTTCTGCTATGTGGGACGCCGCCTCAGCATGGCTTGATGAGTGGTGCTAGATCCACGCCCAGGATCCAAACTGGTGTAACCCTGGGCCGCCAAAGCAGAGTAGTGAACCCAACCACTCTGCCATGGGGCCGGCCTCTGGACTTGCTTTTGTTTTATCCAATAAATTTGTTAAGGAAGTAATTTGTCGTCATCTTAGCCAAGTATTAGCTATGTGAACTTGAGCAAGTTACTTCATTTCTCTCAGCTTCTCTCTCTTTACCTGTAAAATTGTGATGATAATCTCATTAAGATTGTTGAAAAGATTAAATTAGAAAATGTTATCAAGTACTTTGCATGGACTTGGCACATAGTAAGCTCAAATATTTTAATTTCATATTGATATTCATAAACATTTTTACATTTAAAGAGATGGTGAATTTTGCAAAAATGACTCTTTGACTCTTTAATTACAGTCTTGGATTATATCAATGGAGTGATAAAGTAGTTCGAAAAGTGGAGAGATTATGGGATGTTCGAGATAATAAGATAGTTCCTCATACTGTATATCTTCTAGTAACACCTCGTGTTGTCGTAAGTATTACTAAACTTCAGGTCTCATGAGCTATGTGCTCTTTTCCTTCATTATGATCCTTTCTTATCATTATTGTTTAAGAACTTATGATTAAATTTCAGAGCCTATGATAGGAGAAATAATATGAAGGAGGTACAGTAAAGCTACAGACCAAGAGAAATCTGAGGAAATGGAAATTTGGCAATGGCTCTCAGTGCTCCATTCTACCCACTGCTTTAAGCCAGTGCTCCTCTGTTGTGATACTTCTTAGGATCACTGGTACTACTTGCATAATTGCTGGTCATTTCATTTGGAATCTGGATTAGTCAGGGTTCTCCAGAGCAACAGAACCAAAGGATGTGTTGACAGAGAGAGAGATTTATTTTAAGGAATTGACTCATGCAGTTGTAGCGGTTTTGAGTCCAAAATCTGATGGGATAGGCTGGCAAGCTGGAGACTCAGGGAAGAGTTGCAGTTTGAGCCCAAAGGCTGTCCGCTGGTGGAATTCCTTCTTGCTCAGGCAAAGTCAGTCTTTGTTCTCTTAAGGCCTTCAACTGATTGGATGAGACCGTCTATATTGTGAAAGGTAATCTGCTTTACTCAAAGTCCACTAACTTAAATGTTACTCTCATCCAAAAACACCCTCACAGAAACATTCAGGATAATGTTTGACTAAATATCTGGGCCGCAGTACCAAGTTGATACACAAAATTAACCATCACGTCTGCTTATTTAATGATAGAAACCTGTTCTCCCTTCCTCCTTCCTTGACTACACACAGCACTCCCAGCCTTCTGGACTTTTGTACTGCTCTTGGGATATTTCCCATCCCTGGAGGTCTCTAACTGAAGGACAGACAAACCAAATGAGCAAAATTGTATTCTAATGAACAACTTATATTTCTTACAAAGACTGTATCTGTAATAAGAGTAGTTTATACCTGCATTAAAATTGTTATTGACACTAGAGTTACAAATGGCAATCATACTAATCTGTAACTTTTTTGAAATATATGTGACTAAAAGTCAAACTGTTCAAATACAGGAAAAATATTAAGACAAATAGTAATTTACTAGCAAAAAAGAATATGACTGTATAAAAATTTTAATTATACTAAAAACCATGTTTCTTGAAGATGTTCTTTCTTCTCACCCAAGTAATTATTTAATGGCTACTTTATTATACCCAGTGTGATAAAGAGTTTGCCATTATCTTTTTGTACTTTTGCAGAGTTTATTTTTTTTCTGATTCTTAGGATGAAGCACGAAAACATTTTAACTGTCCAATACTGGAGGGAATGGAACTTGAAAATCAAGGTGGTATGGGCACTGAGCTCAACCATTGGGAAAAGCGGTTATTAGAGGTTAGTTTATTTTAAAATTTTACTAGGCATATTTTTTCTTTAAAAAGTAATTCTTACTCAAGTTATTGAAACAGTGTAATAGTAAAAAATTTAATAATCTCTTTTCCTCTTCAGCTCTTCAGATCACTTTCCAGATATCACTATTTTAGGTTTTCTGTATATCCCTCCAGAAATATTATAGATAGATAGATAAATAGATAGATATAGATATAGATGCACCCACTAGCACACACAGTTGTTTGGTATTTTAAAATAGGTTCATACATTTATGCGTCTTTTTTCACTTGATATATATTAGACATCTTTCCAAGGCAGTAATACAGCTGCTTCTGCTGTAATGTAATGTATGCTTTCCAAAAAAAGCTTTCTTCAAAATCAAACACTAAAAATAACAAGCTTTGTGAGAAAAGCAAATACTAGAGCACTGATGAAAGCAATAAGTCATAATAAAAGTACTAGCTCAGGGGCCGGCCTGGTGGCGCAGCAGTTAAGTGCGCATGTTCTGCTTCAGCAGCCTGGGGTTCACCAGTTCGGATCCCGGGTGCGGACATGGCACCGCTTGGCAAGCCATGCTGTGGTAGCCATCCCACATAGAAAGTAGAGGAAGATGGGCATGATGTTAGCACAGGGCCAGGCTTCCTCAGCAAAAAGAGGAGGATTGGCAGCGGATGTTAGCTCAGGGCTGATCTTCCTGGGAAAAAAAAAAAAAGTACTAGTTCAGTTTAAAAAGACATCATATTTCCAATAAATTAACTTCTATAAGTACTCTAGTATTTCTTTACCTTAAACAGCAACAACCACAAAAAGCAATGGTAGGTGGATGGGAGACTAAATCTGAGTAATGGGGACAAGAGTAAATGTACAGAGCTTAGAGAGAACCCTGCAATAAGCACTTCTAAGACAGAGCCTCTGGCCACGCTAAGCCAAGTGGAAGAACATGGAATGAATAAGCGTCATGTGCAGTACAGCGTTCCTCTGTTGCTCTGTTCACCTGTCTTCGTGTGTTTAGCTGCTATTGCTCCATGGCAGAAAACCTTAAAATCTAGAGAGAAATCATTATTAACCAACACAATTGCATATTATGCTGACGTCATTCCCTTATTTACCAGTCTCACATATGCTCGTTCACATTACAGAAACACATGCTTTAGTAAAATAGACTGTATACTTGAATCTACTCATTTTGTATAAGGTATAATCTACATAGTATTATACAAATGTGAAAACAGTCCTGAGTTAAACAACCATGTTTTAAATTTTTTATTTTAAAAATGTAATGAGCAATTTGTTTATATCTGCAGTGCCTTCCAGAAGTCATGCTCCAATGGGTGTTCTTAGGTTCAACTAAATAATCAGACAAACTCACAAGACCTAAACAGGCCGAACTGACCAAAAATTCAGTTAGAATGACACAAGAAAGAAAGCACAGGCTGCCAGCATGATTTCTCTTGTGCGCCACACAGCAATCTAGGGGCTATCATCTGTGTCTCTCTCCCTCCCACTCCAGCTCAAATACAGGAGCACAAGACCATAACAGAGGGGTGAGAGAACCAGCCTAATTTAGAAGTATCATATCCCAAATAAGAACCAATATCTTTTTTAACAGTTCCATTGATAGAACTTCCAGATCCCTGAAAGGCACATACCCATAAGAGTCAGTGCACACGGAGAAGTCTTAGACTGTGGTTTACCAACAGGCATTCAGGTTCATTTACAGTAGCCCCAAGTCCAGAGGCATATCAGGAGGTCTTTTTCCCTCAAGTGCTGTTGCCTGGTAACACAGTTGACATACCACCTTTATTAGGTTTCCTGGGGAGGAGAACTAGAAAGTTAACTCAAGGTCAGATTTGTTTACCCAGAAAAAGAAAGGCTAAATCCCTGGGAGTGGGATTTCTGGGTCAAAGGGTATACATACATACATATATATATATATATATATATATATGCGTATTTATTTATTTATTTATTTTTAGAGATCTATTTAGATAATTTAGGTAGTTGCAGCTTACATATGTCATGACTCAAGGAAGCAAAGTTATGAAAAGAGTGAAATTAATGCTTGTGCTGACTGTTCTTATCTAGGTGGCCACAGAGTAACAGTGAAACTTATGGAAGGCATACATGCTTATTTCTCCCACGGGAATTTCAGTTTCTTTATTTTTCTTAAGCAGTTTTCTCAAGTGATTCCCTTTAGAAAGTGGTAGATCGGGCAGAAATGAATATTTATTTACTTTTCAGAAGATTTGAAAGTAGTAATTTTATTAATTTCCTTAACTGCTACCTTTCTTTGAAATCAACTTTCTGTCCTTGAACTATTTTTTTAAAAGCTAATGTTAAATTAGTTGAGATAACCATCCAGTGTTCAACATAAGGATGGGAAGAATGATCAGAGGTGCCCAAATATGGAAGATGCTTCTTAAGAGACAGTGAAGTCCTTACCGTTAGGTGACCTCCTGATAGGAATTTTATTATATGAATTAAAACACTGGGTAGATAATAGACCTTAATGATATTTTAGGTCCCTCATGTAACTACTTTGATCCTATTGATTCTATGATACTTGTTTTGAATATTAATGTATATTTCTGTGATCAAAAAGTTGAAAGTTGTATAAGCATTTTCTTTGTAATTCAGGCAAATATTCCCTCTCCCAATATTTTGTTAGTATCTGTCTCAACCACTCACTTTACTTTGCCTAGATAGTGTAATATTTTTACAGCATTTTTGTTTCCATACATTTATCTTCATTTTCATCAGAGTTGTAAATGCTGGTTGTCTACCATTGCAGGGAAATTGTACACATTATAGACATTTGAGGCAGAAAGTGGATTTCACTTTAAGCTTCAGTCTTGTCATTTTTAAGGAAGGCTTATGTATTTCACTATTTTAAGTGAATATTTTGTCAGCCTCTCACACTTGAGACATTTTAAATATAAACCAAAGTAATCACAGAAATTATTGAGAGCTGCGAGGAGTCCAGTCTTCTAATTAAAACTTGTTGTTGATTTTCAGAATGAAGCAATGACAGGTTCACACACGCAGAACCGAGTCCTGTCTCGAATCACTCTGGCATTAATGGAGGACACTGGGTAAGACAGCTGTGAGAATATTATATGAATTATTTATTAAAATGAAATGAATGTTAAGATTAATATTAAGGTGAAATAAATATTAGCTTAAGAAAATACTGACAATTTACAGAGAAGTTAAATATACTTATTCTTTGAATTTTGTGCAGTTAGCTATCCATTACCTGTACCAACTCCATGCCTTCATTCTGTTTTGTTTTGTTTTTTTTTAAAGATTTAATTTTTTTCCTTTTTCTCCCCAAAGTTCCCCGGTACATAGTTGTATATTCTTCATTGTGGGTTCTTCTAGTTGTGGCATGTGGGACGCTGCCTCAGCGTGGTTTGATGACCAGTGCCATGTCCACGCCCAGGATTTGAACCAACGAAACACTGGGCCGCCTGCGGCAGAGTGCGCGAACTTAACCACTCGGCCACGGGGCCAGCCCCCATGCCTTCATTCTGTAAATGTTTGAGGCCCTGAGGTATAGGAAGAATAGAGCAAAATCCCTGGCATTATGAGATTTATTTTCTAGTACATAGAGGCCATGGTAATATGAAGGAAAGACTAAACATTTTTTTATTGTAGATGAAATTGGTGATATATAGATTGCTGGTTTTTAAAGCAGTAGAACTTTCTGGTAAAGCAGTAGAATACTGTTTTTACATGGCTCCAATTGGAGGCTGTTTCTTGGTCGGCTCCTGAGTCCTTTTGACAGGACTCATTAGTTTTTGACATCTTCCTTGCTTTTTGATACATCACGCACCTTTTCCTAGATCTGGGCATCAGCCAACCTTCCAAAGAGTACTGGTTCCTTCTAATGGAGATGAGCTTTTACAAACCATAACCTAGGTAATGTGTTCATTGCTACTGGGTTGTCATTACTTCTCGTAATTTTCATTGGACCAAGTTGGGAAATTCATATTTTTGGAAAGAAAAAACTGGATTCCTTTTAGTGCCATTATAACTCTTTCCCATTTATCCCTGAACAGCAATGGCCAGCAGAAGTGATCCTCAAAAGTGGTCCTGCTGCCCTCTTCAACAACCAAACAATGCTACTTTCTTTAAGATACCAGTAGGATATAGAAGCATTGTGGCGGGCGTGAGTCACTAGTGAAATCATGTCACTGGTGAATTTTAAAGCATATTTCCTTTTTCTGAGGCAACGCATCAGCAACGTGGGCCAGACATTCCTAAATGTCTGGCAATATTTTTAAATTGTAGACATGGAAATTAATTTTCATAAATCCATAAGACTTCAGTGTAAATTAACTAAGTTGCTTCTCCCAGTAAAAAACGTTATCATTTATCCATCCAGAAACCTGGGAATCATCTTTGATAACTCCCTCTCCCCACCTCTCACATCCAGTCATCATCAATCTTGCTTGATTTTTAGCTCTTCAGTATCCCTGGAGCTGTCTCCTTTTTTGGTCACCACTGCCTTTATCAAGGCCCACCATTATCTTTTGCCTGGATTACTATAGCAGCTTTTTTTTTTTTTTTAATCTGTCTTCCTGCATCTTAAGTGGTCCTTTCTATTGCCAAAAGCCATTTACACATTCTATACAAATACCCTTTAGAATTTTTTTTAGGCCAAGTGTCTCACATAGTAAGAAATACATCATGACCAAAGAATATACATACATGTATAATGGCTAAGAGCAAAGATGTTGACAAAAGTGCCAAGACCGTTTAATGGGAAAAGAGTAGTTTTTTCAATACATGATGCTAGGACTATTGGATATATACATGCAAAAGAATAAACCCCTGGGGCCAACCCAGTGGCGTAGTGGTTAAGTTTCTGTGCTCTGCTTTGGCTGCATGGGGTTTGTGGGTTTGGATCCTGGGTGCGGACCTACACACTGCTCATCAAGCCATGCTGTGGCAGCATCCCACTTACAAAATAGAGAAAGATTGGTGCAGATGTTAGCTCAGGGACAATCTTCCTTAAGCAAAAAGAGGAAGATTGGCAACAGTTCTTAGCTCAGCGCCAATCTTCCTCACCAAAAAAATAAAAAATAAACCCCTACCACACATGATATACAAAAATTAACTCAAAATTTGTCAAACACCTAAATATAAGACCTAAAACTATAAAACTCTTAGAAGGAAACGTAGGTATAAATCTTCATGATAACTGAATTAGGCAATGATCTCTTAGATATGACACCAAAAGCACAAGCAACTAAAGGAAAAATAGATAAATTGGACTTAAGAAAAAATAAAAGCTTTTGTGCTTGAAAGGATACTACCAAAAAAGTGAAAAGACAACTCACAAAATGGGAGAAAATATTTGCAAATCATCTATCTGGTAAGGGTCTGTTACCCAGAATATATAGGCATACCTCGGAGATACTGCAGGTTTGGTTCCAGACCACCACAATAAAGCAAATATTGCAATAAAGTGAGTCATACAAACTTTTTGGTTTCTCAGTGCATATAAAAGTTATGTTTATACCATACTGTAGTCTATTAAGTGTGCAATAGCATTATATCTAAAAATCAATGGACATACCTTAATTAAAAAATATTTTATTGGGGGGCTGGCTCCGTGGTCGAGTGGTTAAGTTCGCGCGCTCCGCTGCGGTGGCCCAGGGTTCGGATCCTGGGCGTGGACATGGCACCGCTCGTCAGGCCACATTGAGGCGGCATCCCACATCCCACAACTAGAAGGACCTGCAACTAAGATATACAACTGTGTACAGGGGAGGTTTGGGGAGATAAAGCAGGAAAAAAAACAAAGATTGGCAGCAGTTGTTAGCCCAGGTGCCAATCCTTAAAAAAAAAAAAATACTTTATTGCTAAAAAATGCTAACCATCATCTGAGCCTTCAGCAAGTCTTAATCTTTTTGCTGGCGGAGGGTCTTGTAAAAATGCATTATCTTGAAGCACAACAATGTGAAGCACAATGAAATGAGACATGCCTGTATCAAGAACTCTTACAACTCAACAATAAAAAGACAACTTAATTTAAAAATAGCTGAAGGATTTAAATAGATATTCCTCCAAAAAAGATACACAAGTGGCCAATAAGCATTTGAAATGGTTCCCAACAATAGTAGTCCTTAGGGAAATACAAATCAAAACCACAATGACATACCACTTCACACTCACTAGGATGGCTATAATCAAAAAGACAATAGCAAACATTGATGAGGATGTGGGAAAATTGGAACTCTATACTCTGTTGGTGGGAATGTAAAATGATGCAACTACTTTGGGAAACAGGTTGGCAGTTCCTCAAAATGTTAAACAGATTTACCATGTGATCTAGCAATTCTACTCCCAGGTATATATCCAAAAGAAGTGAAAACATGTCTGCACAAAAACCTGTACGTGAATGTTCGCAGCAGCATTACTCATAATAGCCAAAAATTAGAAACAAACCCAAATGTCTATCAACTGATGAATGGATAAACAAAATGTGGTATATCCATACCAAGGAATGTTATTTGGCCATAAAAAGGAATAAAGTCAAGAGAATCAGAAGACAAGCTACAGACTGGGAGAATATGTTTTCAAAAGACATCTAATAAAGGACTGTTATCCAAAATATACAAAGAACTCTTAAAACTCAACAATAAGAAAATGAACAACACAATTAGAAAATGGGCAAAAGATCTGAACAGACACCTCACTAAAAAAGATATACAGATGGTAAATAAGCATATGAAAAGATGCTCCACATTATACGTCATAAGGGAAATGCAAATTAAAACAACAAAATGCCGCTACACACATATTAGAGTGGCCAAAATCCATAACACTGACAACACCAAATGCTGACAAGGATGTGGAGCAACAGAAACTCTCATTCATTGTTAGTGGGAATGCAAAATGGTATAGCCACTTTGGAAGACAATCTAGCAGTTTCTTACAAAATTAAACATAATCTAATCATAACAACCCAGCAGTTGTGCTCTTTTATATTTAATCAAATGAATTAAAAACTTACGTCCACACAAAATCCTGTACACAGATGTTTATAGCAGCTTTATTCATAATTCCCAAAACTTGGAAGCAACCAATTTGTCCTTCACTATGTGAATGGATAAACTGTGGTACATCCAGATGATGGAATATTATTCAGAGCTAAAAAGAAACAAGCTATCGAGCCATGAAAAGACATAGAGAAACCTTAAATGTATGTTACTAAATGAAAGAATCCAATCTGAAAAGGCTACATACTGTATGATTCCAACTATAGGACATTCTAGAAAAAGCAAAACTATGGAGACAGTAAAAATCTCAGTGGTTCCCAGGGGTTAGCAGGAGGAAGGGATGAACAGGCAGAGCAGAGGAGATTTTAAGGGCAATGAAATTATTCTGTATGATAAGGTAGTGGTGGATACATGGCATTGTACATTTGTCCAAAACCATAGAATGTATAACACTAAGAGTAAACCCTACTGTAAACACTGACTTTGGGTGATTATGATGTAGCATTGATTGCAACAAATGTAGCACTCTGTTGCAGTATGTTGATAATGGGGAAGGCTGCCTGTTGGGGAGCAGGGGATGTATGGGAACTCTGTTCTTTCCACTCAGTTTTGCTGTGAACCTAAAACTGCTCTAAAAAATAAAATCCTTTAAAGAAAAAAAAAGTGAAGTACTAATACATGCTACAACATGTATGAACCTTGAAAACCTTATGCTAAGTGAAAGAAGTCAGACAGAAAAGACCACATTCCATTTCTGAGAAATGTCCAAAGTAGGCAAATCTATGGAGACAGACAGTAGATCAGTGGTTGCCTGGGACTGGGGAATGACTACTAATGGGTACATAGTTTTTTGGGGGGTGATAGAAGTGTTTTGAAATTAGAGGTAATGGTTGTACAACTTTGTGAATATACTAAAAACATTGAATTGTACACATTATGAGTGAATTTTATAGTATGTGAATTGTATCTCAGTTTTTGAAAAAAACACACAAACGTTGAAATCAGAGCCCTAGATTCAAATCTCAGCTCTGCTGCTCCCTGGCTGTATCTTTGCCTCAGTTCTTTCATCTGTAAAATAGGGA